CCGCGGGCACAGCCACCTTGCGGGGCTGCGGGAGACCCTTTGTTCCCCGATCGCGGGTTATGGGGGGCGGAACGGGCAGGGCCTCAAGGTGGAGCGGCGAGCGGAGATTCCTAAAAAGGGGGGGAGGAGACAAAGGGGAAAGGGGGCGAGGAAGACGCGGGAGCCGAGTGGGGTGCGAGCCTCGGGCTCTGCCTCAGCGGAGGTTTGTTCTGAACACGGAGCCGCAGGGCGATGAGGCCGGCGCCAGACGGCCGAGAGATCACAAGCACCTTGTGTTCTAGGAACAGTTTAGGGTCGTATTGCCCTTTAGCCGAGATACAACTTTCGTTATTCTTAAAATCAGTCTAGGAAAGTTGACAGAGGTACGTAAATTCATAAAATGGAAGGCTGACGTTGTTATATTTACCACAGTGACGGTGGCTAAAATCAAGCCCCGACAAAGCGTCAGTGCTACTAGTGATCTTCATTCTCACTGAGACTCCCAGAGGGCAAAGGCACGTCGAGGACGAGGGTGGAGGCTGGCTGAGCTGTGAGGGGAGGGGAGGGCGCCGGCCGAGGAGTCGTGAAAGAGGGTGAAGTGAGGTCGAAGACCAGGCTGGAGGACTTTCCTGGCAGGTAAATCACTGAGGGCCACAGTAGGGTCCCCCGTTTAGAGACGGAGCAATAAAGGCTTAGACAGTAGAGCGATAAGATTTGGGTTCTGGTCCGGGCAGTAAAAGAACTTTCATTATTTTTTAGCATGTTCTAGTACTGCCTTGTCTTACAGTATTGATTGTTTTATAAATGTTTTTATTAATCAGCCAGTTGTAATATTACTTTTTGCTTTCTAGAGGAATTTCCTGTATGGGCAGCGCTTGCTCACCCGAGCCAGGCGGCGCCTTATGAGGCTGAGGCAACCCGGTTGCAAGCTGATGGTTGCTTAGAATATTTTGATATTACAATAAAAGGAGGTCGTCACATAAGTGAGTGTGGGAATTCTGATTTTTCAGAGCACTTCCGTCTCTTTCGGGAATATGTCAGTCGATAGAGATTGCACAGCTTGTGTCACAGGACCCCTGTACCCCAAAGCCGGAAGGGCCCAGACTTTGGAGTCATGTCTTGTTTTCTCTGTAATTAAAGCTGTATGCAGCTGTGGATTCAACAGAAATTTACAAATGAAAAAAAGGGCAAAATATGTTTATTTACAGTTAAAAGCTGGCCATACTGGAGCTAAAAGTAACAAGGTGACCTTGACATAAACTCCAGATGCCTGGCCTGCTTGACTACCGGGGGCCCGAATTTCACCCATAAATGTTTTTCTGTAACCACAGTTGAATTCTTTTTTTTTTTAAGATTTATTTATTTATGCATACAAAACTGGGGTACAGGCCAGAGATGCGGAGGGTGAGAGGATTCACCAGAGACAGAGTGGGGAGCAGAACAGGCCG